AAAACCTTAACACTAGACATATGACTACAAGTACATCTACCTAAAATGCCACCTGTGGCTGTGGTAATTGAGGTGGGTAATGTCTCTCTTGTCAGGAGGAATTCTGTTAGAATGATGATGAAAAACCATTAGTACATGCAATGTCAAAAGGAGATAGTTGTAATGTTACAGACAGACAGACAGACAGACAGACAGACAGACAGACAGACAGACAGAAACATAATATTCATGGTTTATAAAACTTGTATACATGTAGTTGACAAATTTCAAGAAAGGCAAAAGAATTACTGCAGCAAACATTAAACTAAAACCAATCAATATGGATCTACTGTGAATCTGGGATGCAAGAAATGGCATTGATTAGAACAGAGGGGAGGATGTGTGAAGTTGACTGCGATAAAGGGAAGAAGGTTTCAATGAGTAACTGTTGGATTATGTTGTAAAGCACAATAAAGTATCATTAGTGAAGATATTGGAGTAGAAAAGAATAGGAAAGATAATACGGTTGATTTAAGCATTGGAACATTGGGAATATAATATAGAATATATGAACAATACATCTTTACTCTTTTACATGTCAACATGAGTCTGAGAGAGAGACTCTTGTTTTTAGTGAATGCAACCATTAATTCATTACATGACAGCATTTTACCAGAGCTTGAGCAGAGTTTGGCTTAAATAAACTCGCAGTGTTGAATTCTGATAAAATTGAGTACAACATGGCTTGATTGTCTAAACAAAAACTATTACCTAGAGTGCTGTTCCAGTCTGGCTCCAACGAACGGAGTCGTACTTTGGACCACGACACAATTGTATAATGCACAGGAGATAATCTCCTGTTAATTGGTAAACAGAGTAATAGTTCGGATTTGATAAAATGCTGCCGAACATGCGTCTTGAAACAGGAGTCATGCAATGCTGCCTCAACAAGTGACTGACACAAATATAACTTAATCTAAATAAAAACATATCTGGTAAAATAATAAATAATTATAAAACAATAAATTCAGCATTGCAGACTAACCAGTTGTAGGTTCCATGCACTGGCAGCTCTCCGCTATGGTATGGTATGGTGAATAGGAAGTGGAATGGACATGACAAAAATACCACACAGACATAAAATAAAAAAAAAAAAAAGATGAAAAAAAAAGTTAATGAGGAAAAACAAAATGAATTACCACATCTATGAGGAATCTAGCATGCAAATTTATGTGCTACACAATGTACTAACTAAACACAGCTAATAAAATCGTCTAATAGTGAAATAGAAAATCAAAACAAAATCAAGTCATTTGTTATTTGCTCAAATCTCTTACAGGAAGACATGAGAATTGTTTCAATGTGAATGTAGTAGTATATTCAGTATGAAGTACTTGAGGTAATATTTAAAACACTGTAATGTCAAATATCAGAAATAAGTGAAGATGTAACTCACGTTCAACTGGACATTCCATCACATTTGTCACGTTTTGAACTATTCCAATTTCATTTCTGAAAAAAAAAATAACAATTGAAATTGAAACAAAAGCTATATAGTACAATGATGGAGAAATAAATGACAAGTAAATGAATCAACCTAGGTCTACGTATCAACAAACTTACAATAAATGACAAGTAAATGAATCAACCTAGGTCTACGTATCAACAAACTTACAATAAATGACAAGTAAATGAATCAACCTAGGTCTACGTATCAACAAACTTACAATAAATGACAAGTAAATGAATCAACCTAGATCTACGTATCAACAAACTTACAATAAATGACAAGTAAATGAATCAACCTAGGTCTACGTATCAACAAACTTACAATAAATGACAAATAAATGAATCAACCTAG